TGGTCACTTAACTGTTTTCTAAAGGTAGGATGTAGAGAAGGCTGAAAGGAGCTGGAGACATAGGTGAAAGGAAAACTAAGGCAGCCATGGTGTTTTCAGCCTTTTTGTTTCAGGCTTCGCCCACAACTGATTTGAATCATCTGCATGTGTAGTGGGAAGAAGGATGGGCCACACCCTGGGTGCTGGATTTCTCCTGAGCCTCTGTCTCTGTTCACCTGGCCCTGTGGATTAGAAAAATCAGCTGTACAAAGCTTGGAGAAACACCATATGTAGTGGAATAGGGTTAGGAAAAGGGAATCCCCAAGCCATTGATTTCAGGATATAGAAATAGAAATCACCTTGTAAGGTGGGCTGCAGTTATGTCAGGAAGATGACAAGGAAGGTACAAAAAGTTTTGGCTAAAACCGTTAGACAATTTTACATCTGGGCATAGAGGAGAAAGTCTAACCTGAGAACTGACAACTTAAGGAAGTCTTCCCTGTCAGAGTTAGAGCATGGAGGAGACTCAGAGATGATTGATTCAGCAGTGAACTCTTTTCTTTTGTAAGATGGTACCCTGTGTAGATTTTATCAGGTGCTTACTAAGAGGTGTTATTCTAGGGGCCTCTCTGATAACTTGAAGTAGATGTTGGCATTGGCATAAGAGAATGGGAGAAAAGACAGATTTGAACAGATTGTTGGACAGGATGAGTTCCACAGAGGATCTCTTGGTTTAGAGATGCCTGGGCCATGGATAAACAAAGAGGGAGCCTAGAGGCTGGGAGTGGGCTGTGGGTCCTGAGTAGTGAGCTGTGAGCCTGTGGTTGGTCACCAGTGTCATGGGCCAGGTTGAGACCACCAAAAAAATTGTGTAAAACAAGTTGAGGATAGAGAATTATGTTAATTCTTGCAATCATCCTGTGATAGTTATTTTAAAGTTGGCAAAACTGAGTCTCTGAAGTGACTTACTTAGGCTCACACAGCTAAATGATGGCAGAGGTACTCATTTGTGAACTGAACTTGTCAGGTGAACCAAATTCAATGGTTAGGTTCAGTGTTGACCTTATGGGGAAATTTGATTCCATTCTCATCCAGTTCGGTTTGCAGCCAGGATAGTGGAAAGAATTAAGTTTGTGAACTGAGGCATGATTGTATTATTCTGCTCTTCTGCTGACTCTTAGTACTTCCACAGTGTCTTGGATCTGTGCTTAAAAAAATTAAGCACTAATTTCTTATCCTATCACCCTCCTTTTAGCTGCAATACAAATTGAAGACTTACTTCCTTAAAATAGATGTTTAGCATTTATTTATTATTATTAACATTTCCTGTTTTAAAATATATTTTATCTTCTATTATAAAAGTAGAAGGGATTTTTAATAATGATTCAAATTTGTAGAACTATAGGTAGAAAATAAAATTTCCCTGTAATCCTGCTACCCCAAAAGAAAATCCCCACACTGCATTCTTTTTGCAAGGATTTAGAAAAGCAAAATTTGTTCCTTCTTTAGAACTTCTTTGGAACTTTTTGAGAAAGTTAAGAATAGCACTTGGAATCGGGTACTCAGTATTAATCAAATGCTTTTCTGGTTGTTTGCTGGTGTTTTCAGGGTGCCTGCGAGGGTTTGGCATTCAGAACTCATCTACCTGGCTTTGTGACCTGGGAGGTGACCCCTGTACACTACTTTTTCTCGGTCCCAGCTTCTAGCTGGGCTGCATGGAGTTATTTTCTCCTCATATTAACAGGGTTTTCCATCCATCCATTTATCTCTTTTCTCTAGCTGTCTGTGTGCTGTCTGTGTGAGATAATTTCCTTTGGGGTTTTCTTGGCTCTGTCCTTGGGATTTCATGGTATAGATGACAAGAAGAGTAGCAAATGTTGTCTAAATCATCCTTAAAGAATGTGACCCTCATTGGTAATGAGATGCTTGAGACATTTTATATTATGAAAGTTACCCCAGCAGTGCCTAGCCTTGGAAATATCCCCCATGCAAGCTTCATAGTTGTGGTTTGGGTCAATACTTTACATTCCAGTGTTTTCCCTCTTGCATGGGAACACAGGGCGTCTCCCATTTTCCCACCAATCTTTGTTTCTTTAAAAGAAAATATGAATTCAATTCAATACTCTCTAGATTGCACTCTGATAAGAGTGTAGGGGCCGGGATTTAGCTCAGTGGTTTCGCCGCCTGCTGTGCAAGCGCAAGGACCAGAGTTCGATCCCCGGTACCAAAAAAAAAGGAATGTATATTTACAGAAATGTTCGGTCAAGGCCCTTGGGTAAAACTTCTCAACCAGTTGATGAGCCTAAATTTCTCCAGATACTGAGAAGTGGCTTGTGGTTAGTGATGGATTTCATATGCGAATCAGTGTGTTTTCTTTGTCTCTCTTTGGGTGGCATCTACACCACCAAAACAGGACTCAATAAAGATACTAACCAAGATGAAGAAGGGATGTGTATGTACCTCTTCTTGTGGGCATCCTTTTTAGGAGGAAGAGAGAGCAAAGGGAGTGTGTGCTATGCTTGCTTCTCCTTCTTTCTGCTGACCTGTGATTCCCTCTTAACTCTGTTTAAATTGGATGGATGTCCATTCTCTTAGGATGTGAGTCAATCATTTCTACCTCCTCTACCTCTAGCAAGGCAGAGGAGCTACTCAGAAGGATGATTTGTTTTCATCTCAGTACATAAAAATTACACATCAACTGTATAGAGGACTAAATTAATGTCCATCAATGCTTGGACTGACATGTTTTTTATAAGCTATTGGCTGGTGAAATCACTTGTGGACCTAGAAATCTGTGAGTTATAAGGTTACATTAGTGTTATGGCTTGTGTTTAGATGTCCCCTCAGCTCTTTCAGAGGTGGCTGAGTCTAGAGTGTGTGATTGACTCATGGTGGGGCTAGGTCCAAGGGCACTAGAATTAAGGCGATCAGTGTTATCCACCCTAAATAGTCTGAATAAGATAAAGGGGCAGAAAGATGCTGTTAAGGTCCCTTGTTGATTTTGCTGTCTTCCACCCCCATGAACTGTTGCCCCTCTGCCACCCTGCCTTTGAACTAGACAATTATGGACTGAAACCTCTATGAACTGTAAGCCAAATAAATCCCCCCCCCCCGCCCCGTAACGTTGGGTGTTGGGTATTTTGTTTCAGCAATGAGAAGTAATGCACATAGCATTCTGTTCTTTGGATAGTTGGGTGTTTGTTTTTGGTGGTACTGGGGATCAAACCCAATCACTGAGGTGTATTACTGGCATGCACTATTTACTGCACCAGCTGTTTTCGATTATTTGATTATCTGGGTGCCATCAGCTATACCATATACTTCATGAATGAAGGATGCTTTCTTGTCTCATCATTCTATTCTTAGCATTTACCACAGTATATAGCATACAGAAATACATAAAAAATACACACATATTATACACTTGTGACTATTTGAGTAATATCTGCTTGCTCCACTAGACTATTGTGCTCATGAGTTAGGAATGCTTTGTTTTTTGACCAGTGTCTTTAGCATTTAGCGTAGTATCTAGCACCTGTTGGTAAGTAGTTGTTGAATGAATGAAAGCGTGAATAAAGATACCCTTTTCCTCTTGATGACAGATGACTGACTTACACAGAAGAGTTATTTCTTTGGCTTTCTGTTGAGGATATAAATCTACTTTTCAAAAATCTTAAGATATAGCTGAAGGAAAAATTGCTTTTAAGCAGGGCACTTGTAAAGAACTAATTAATAATTACTATAGAAAAAATTATTATAGGAAAAAAGCAGAATGAAACATTTTGGTAGAAAACATGAAGGTACACACACAGATTTCCTTTAGGTTTGGAGTTTCCCAAGATATATGATAAAACTCCCTTCATGGGCCATTTAAAAATTGAACCATCTTTATAGAGAAAGAGAAAATTTGCTTTGAAATGTTTTACCCTGTGTTGGCCTTCCCTAAGCAAAATGATAGATTTGAATTTATGCATCTCTGATTTCCAGAGTCAAGAAACCTTACTATTAACATTAGAACCAGAAACTTTGCTTAGAGGTCATTTGTTTAAATCTCCTCATTTTACAGATGAGAAAGACATAAGCCACAGGATTCAGTGTCTTGGATCAGTATGACACAGACCACTGTAGGGACATAGGACCACAGAGACTCTTATTAAAAGCATGATTTGTGTTTTCTTATGAGACTTAAAATCACCTCTTCACTTGGGCCTATAGATGCCTTTGTTCATAAAGCTTGACCTTCATTTTATATAACTCTGGGACAAATCCTTTTTGCTATGTATATAGGCAGGTTGGTAATCTAGGGAATGTCTGTCTAAAAAGTTGGCAAAACACGGCTTATTACCCCTAAATCTCATCATCCTTGTGAAGATGTAAGTGTAAGAGATTTACAGAGGCACTTGGCCATGTCCAGAATCTCCTTTGCCCTAAACCTAGCGTCACTTTGGATTCCATTGGAGCCTCACATGACTGGAACTGCCCCAAGCAGAGACAGTCCTCTCATGGGGACTGAATTGCCCCATAAGCCATGAGGCTTCCTCCAGAGTCACAGAGCAAGGACTGGGATAGTGACTGACTGAACCCAGTCCATGATAGCACCACATGAAACTGATCATCCTTTTGTGGAAGGGTCAGTCTGATTGTCTTCATCAGAATATGCCCCCACCTAGGTGCTCTAGCTGGATACTTCTGCTCTTCTCTCACTTTCCCTTGTTAAGGGGCTGGCTTTATCTTTGTCCCTTCCTTAATATAAAGTCCCTTACCATTTTCTCTTTCCAGTTAAAGTTTTTTCCTGTAAACTTGTATTGTTGCTTTAGTTTACTTACCATTATCACAGAAGCAAGGAACCATGCTAGCCTATGATAAATATAATTTATTATCCATAAACCGAGGCTTTGAAAAAAATGTGATCATCACTTTTAACAAAAATCTCAGGCTATTTTAGCTGAATGCATAAAAGAAGTTATCTCGTAAATTAAAATTTAAAAACCTAATTTAAATTTAAAAGGGAGAACTGTTTTTAAACTTACATTGTAATTCTGACTTTAAAGGTAAAAATTATCTTGCTTTCAAATCGAAACATAATTTTAATTTGTTTTAAAGTAACTAGAAATATCACCTTGGTAACATGCTGTCCTGCTTCGGCCTGCTGATAAGGATCAGGTGCTGCAGGCTGCCTAACCTCATCAAATACTGAAGCAGTTCAATTGTAAAAGGAAAGGAATGTTACTTGAGTGTGGAGAGTAGAATCTTGTGGCACATCCAGTTTGTTAATTTCAAGAGTCTTGCCTGGATTAAAATAGAAGCAAAAGAGAAGATGGGGAACCCAGAATGGTTTTCAGTCAGGGAGGATGTTGATGCTGCTGAATTGCTGATTTTGCAGACAGAAATTTTATTCTGCGATTTTTTTCCTTCAGCTTTGTAAATGAGCTTCCTATTTCAAGGGAGATTTTCTTCAGGCTAGAAACCAGTATTCTCTCTCCTTTCTTTGTTCATTCTGCTCTTCCCTTTGTGATTTTAATTTCTTATTTAATCCAAGAGCTTTAATCAGCAGCTTCTCCTGGAATGCCTAGAAGCAATAACAGAACTCCCGTTTCATTTCAGATTTTAAAATTATATTTATCTTTTTCTCCTACCTAACTTACTTAGGGAAAGAAAACTCACATTTTCTGAGGACCTGTAAAATGCAGCCCTGCCAAGAGCTTCATTTTTACTGGTGACAGAAGAGGGTGGGTAAGCAGAGCTGAGGTTTAAACCCATGACTATTAAAGTCCAAGCTTTTGGCTGTCCTCCTCTGGCTAAGCAAGATTTGAAACTGTGGAACATATTTTTCAGCAGCACTCAGAATGTAGGTGGCACACATTCTTATATAATTTGTTTTATAATTATCTCAATAATGAAGTCAGCTGGGCATTTTTTTGAAAAAACTTGGCAATTATGAACTTGAGTGTATATTTTCATGGTAAAGTGACCTTTTGGGCACCGATAGTGTTTATCTAGAAGGCTTCTGCCAAGTGTGCCATTGTTTTAACTGATAGATTTGGGGAATTCAGTGCCCCTTCATTTCTGTGGCCTAAAGCCACCGCCCCCCTCCATCTCCCTATAGTTAGTTAAAGTGATGGTATTTATCACTTTTGTCTTTAGAAATGTTACATTTAGTATGTTTCGTCTCTACTGCCACACTGTAAAATTCTTAGGGCTAGCAACAATGTTTATCAGTGAATAGCAGAAAGAAGATATTTTAGCTCCCTTAGTGCTTTGGGTAGTATTTTTGAATGAACAAAAAAATAACTATATTCAAGAGGAGAGGTTCTAAAAAGAGAAAAATGAAGTAGTCAAATTAAAGACTGGCTGTTTTATATCACTGAATTTAATCATAACCCTTTTCAAGATGGAGTAGGCTATAGAAATCATCTAATAACATCCTCATGAGATAGATTAGCAGAGGCCTAAATCAGTTAAGGTCTCACTGTTACTTAGTGGCTTCATGTGGACACTTTTGCTTTGAAAATGATTAAAACTATTTATGGGCTTCATGCACCATAGCTGCAAAAAAGTCTGGTCTCGGCATTGCCAGGACCAGTGAAAATATACTTGGAGCTACTCTGCCAGTTCTAATTCTCATTTTCTAACCTTTGTGATTGCCAAAAATGTATGGCTCTAGAGAGTTTTTTTCTTTCTGTTTGAACATACTGGATTTTTATAGCTGTTGAAAGCATTGCAGTTTCTAGGGCTACCTGGCAAAATTCTAGATCACTGTGAGAAAGCAGTAAGTTCAAAGACTCTGGCCTCTCCTGCATTCAAATTTCAGCTCCTCAGCTTGCTAACCTTGTGACCTTGGCAAGTTACTAAACTTCTGTGCCTCTATTTTCTCATTTGTAAGTTAGGTTGGGTAATGAGTCATAGTTATGTCATACAATTATCAGAGAGAAATGAATTAGTTCATTCATGTTTAGGGGTTTTTTTGAACCTTGGAAATGGTCAGTAAATTTTATGTTATGATGATCATAGAATACCAAATACCTTGGGCCACTTTTATTCAATCAGGATTGTAGTTTTATTGGCAAGGGGAATATTTGCTAAAATTCTTCCTGAGATTTCATAGTAAAGGCGGTTTTGAAGATAATATTTCAGTGGGGTTTGGAAGGTTTGGATATATAAATACTGGATATGAGTCCTTTCCAGATATGAAGAAATGGCGAGCCACTACAGTATTATGGTGGGAAGATACCAGGTTTGTCCAGTGTAACTGCAATGTCACATTCTCCCTGGGGAGAAATGGGCGTCTAGTCTAATGGATATTTCGGTTCAGCCCATCGAAGGCCTGAGATAGCAGGCAAGGAGCTTGGGTTGGGAGTCTGTGAATACCAAATTCCCTTTGGGAGCAAGACAGAGAGGAAGCATTAGGGAGGGGTGGGATTGAGGCAAGGAGACCAGCTGGGAAGCTATTGAGTTATTAGGCATAAAGAAGAAGGGGATGTAGAACTGATAAGACTTTGGAATTGATGGAGGTGGTATGGTCTTACACATAGATAAGTACCATTAACAGAAAGAGGAGGCTGTGGAGAAGGGTGAGTTTGGGATGGAAGGCTATGATTCAATTTTGTGAACATCAGCTTATGGTACAGTTAAGAAAACCCAAGAGGACCCCGCCCCCCACCCCCACCCCAATAGAGAACTAAGGTAAATAGTTCAATATCTGAGGTAAAATTTGGGAAATCATTTTCATGTGTGATAGTGTTGATCATATGAGAATATACGCAGTTACTTGAAACTGATCCTATAGATTCAAAAGAGACTCCCACATTCCATAGTAACATTTAAGGCAAAAGCCATAAAATGCTGGGTGTAGGAATTCAGTTGTTCTGCTGTGTGAGTCAGGTGATTCAGAGCCCCCCCTCCCTTCCCTCAATGCTTCTGGCTGCCAGCCTGCTCGTGCCACAGAGGAGGAACTCCTTTTTTCTTTTGCCCACCGCACACTGAAGGGGAGCCACTCTCCCTTAATCCTGGGCAGAGAATTAGTCTCTGACTTTGAAATTGAAGAACAGCATTATAAAGTCTACATATTTTATATCACAAATTTAGAAGACAGAGACACTAAAGATGCAACTTTAAATTTTAAAAATTCTAAGAGCAAAATGTTTTATAACCCTTCATTTTTGTATGTGGTTTTCAATGGGTATAAATATACTCTGTGGGTGTGTGGGTGACTTCTCATGTTTTGGAAAATGGTGAGAATATGAGAATCTGAGCTTTGGATTCTGGGATGAAAGCTATAATTACAAACTTTGATTCTTTCCCCGGGTTGGCTCATGGTGGATATCTGGTATCTAGAAACCCAAGAAGCTAGAATCCACAGCAATACCCACTCACCTCAGGAATGAAAAGAATCGCTGTGATGGAGAGGAGAGGGAATGTGGAGTGGTGGCTTTCCTTGCCTGGTCTTCTTTCATGCCTGTCAGAGGCTGTTCAGGGCTTTGAGGGAGCAGAAGTGGTAGCTTCTGTGATGATTTCCCTGAGCCTGATGATCGCAGCCATCATGCAGCTGTGATGGAAACAGTTCCAAATATAACCTGGGACTCATTTCAAATCCTCCCCCAAGTCTTGGCAGATGTGGTAAACACCATAAAAATACCTGCTGCCTGAACCTTTGAGGTATCTGAAGAGGAAGGGACAGGTACCAGTGGTGGGCTGGACAAAAAGCCCAGTGTTGTTGGGAGGCTTGTTGGCCTGCTCCTGAGTCTGTGTGATGGGCTGTGAGCATGCCACCCTGTTGAAGGATAAGTGCTTGCTCTTGAGTCTCTCATCGCTGCTGGCAGGTTTCAAGGAAACTATTCATAGACTCGACATCTATTCTCTGTCCCCTTGATCTCAGATCCGCAGCTGGCACTATGGCACTTAGGCAGTTTGGTGGGTTTTAGTTGTGTTTCACAGAATCAGAATTTTACAACTGGTATGGATTATTAAAAAGCCATTAAAGTCACTACATTGATGGAGCCACATTTCTGTACCTATATAGTGACCACAGAAATTTGAAAATAGAACCTCAATCTTTGAGTATTAAAAGAAATCACTCTTACAATTATATAATATAAAAATGGAAGGATAATGAAAACTAGTCTTTAAAAATTATTGGCTAAATGATCCCATACAAAGCATTTTCTTTTTTATTTAAAAATTGGTGCTGTGAGACTCTCTCAAGCTTCGATATTTTGAATATGAAGTTCATTGGTGACATTGCCAGAAACTAGGAATCTTACCTTCAAGGAGAAGGCTTTCAGTATCTCCTTTCTGGAATTGTAAACCATAACCAGGGTATTGTGATCTAAGGACCCTGGGTAAGCTCTGTTTCCCAGGAAAGAAGGCATTCACAGATGACCTTTAATGTCCATGAGATGCACTCAAAGTGTGGAAGCAGTGAAGTCACCCAGCCTTCTAAACATCTGCTAGTTGCCTTCCCCAGTCTCTGTGAGCATGTTCAGAGAGATCCTGTGGGTGCACAGCCTATGTGAGGAGGACAGGAAGAAGCTTCTCTGAGCCTCTTCAGTAAGTTGAGGAGACAGAGTCAGTTGGTGCTGAAAAGATTTAAATATGTTCCATTATGGTTGTTACAGCATTGCCTTTAGTTGGAACTCATGTATATTCTCCTCTTTGTTCTTCTCAAACAAAGCTCCTTTTGCATTTGGAAGAGTATTTAACTCTGAGTTAAAAATCAAAAGTTTTGAATGAGTGATGGAAACCATCAAAGTGTTTGGAGTTTTTGTCACTTACTTCTTGTCTGAAATAGCCACTTTTAGAAGTTCTTGTTTCCTGGGACCAATACACTTAAAACAGCAAGCGATGCCCCTGAGAGGTGGTCTGTTCTGGAAGAGAGACTGGTTTTATAGAGACAACGTGGCTTTGGAGTTGCCACCATCCTCAGTTGAGAGGAAGCTGAGAAATGTTCAGGCACGGAGAGATCTCTTTCCGTACACGACAGGGAGGACAGGAAGGAGAAGGTAGCACTGTTCCTGGCCTCTCAGACATTTCTCCTCTGCAATTCCAGAATGAAGAGCTTCGAAACTTGTCCCTTTCTGGCCATGTTGGATTTGACAGTCTGCCTGACCAGCTGGTCAACAAGTCTACGTCACAAGGATTCTGTTTCAACATTCTGTGTGTAGGTAAGTGATTCATCACCCATTGTCCCGAGAGGCTTTTGACCCTTAAGTGTTGCAGGTGTGTGACTGAGGGGTGACCTAGGAAAATGACACTTTAATTACCTTGTTTCTTCAGTAACGCAAGGCAATAATACTTGCTGTTCTTATGTCACACTGTTGTAAAAATTGAGAGATGCGTTTGGGTACATGTACGTTTTGTGATATTGTTCAAATTATTTTTATTTCTGTGGCATGGTCAAACAACTGGGCAGTTTAATATTGTTATTAAAACATTTATTTTAATTTTTGGTAGGGAGAGAGACTTGTATCCTAAGTAGGTACAGGAAGTTGAAAGAAGGAACTGAGATACATATAGTAAAAACATTCAAGAGCCTTTTTAAGAATCTGTATCTAGGGTTTCTGACTAAAGTATCATAGTGACCTCTACTGGAGTCTTGTTTTTTGGCGGGGGGGGGGGATACTGGGGATCAAACTTGGGTCCTTGTGCTTGCGCAGCAGGCGGTGAAACCACTGAGGTAAATCCCCGGCCCCCTGGAGTCTTTTCAAAGATACATTACCTGTAGTAAGTAAAATCCAATACCACTCTAACCTTCTGCCTGCCTGCCCGCCCACCTGCCTGCCCGCCCGCCTGCCTGCCCGCCTGCCTGCCCGCCTGCCTGCCCACCTGAGCCCTACCGCCGCCGTGGTACTGGGGATCAAAACCAGGAACACTACCATGAGCTGCATCTCCAGCTTTTTTAATCTTTTATTTTGAGGGCTGGGGATGTAGCTCAGTGGCGCCATGCCTGCCTGGCAAGTGCAAGGTCCTGAGCTTGATCCTTGGTACTGGGGGTAAAAAAATTTTTTTAAAAAATTTTGAGACAAGGTCTCCCTAAGTTGACCAGGCGGCCCTCGGCCTTGGCTCCTCCTACCTCAGCCTCCCAAGTAGCTGGAATTATAGATGTGTGCCACTGGGCCCAGCTCTCTTAACTAATAAACTTAAAATATTTAAAACTTAGTTGCTCTTAGGACAGAAGTCAATCTAAAATTCTGTTTTATATTTGAAATAAATTTTCTGCCTCAGTTATCAAATTAGCCTTCTGTCCTTAAATTGGGATCTAAAATGGATCTTAGTTCATTCGTGGTAGACACATGGAAAAGTCCAAAGAGATCTGACTTACAGTATCTTTTTTTTTTTTTTTTTGGTACTGGGGCTCAAACTCAGGACCTTGTGTTTGCAGAACCACTGAGCTAAATCCCCGGCCCAAGAGAGGTGGCTATCTTTTTTTTTTTTTTTTTTTTTTT